TTACACACACACACACCCCGTCCACTATTCCACACCTTGCCCCTCAGGAATGCCACCGACTCCTACAGCGATATCATCTACTTGCCTCTCTGTGGATGGCACCCACACCTCCATCCCCAGCTGTGCGCCGCACCCTGCAAGTTGCCTCAGATTTCCTGACTGCACCTCAAAGCCACCACTTCCCAAATTAATCCCATCAAACCTGGCCCTACTCCTTACTCCCTGACTTCAATTAACAGTCTCACCACCACCCAGGACCAATGCTTAAAATCCCGATTCCCAGGCTTCCCTGGTGGTGCAGTGGTTAAGAATCTGCCTGCCAATGCAGGGCACACGGGTTCGAGCCCTGGTCCAGGAAGATCCCACATGCCGCGGAGCAACTAAGCCCGTGTGCCACAGCTACTGAACCTGCGCTCTAGAGCCCGTGAGCCACAACTACTGAAGCCCACGTGCCTAGAGCCCGTGCTCTGCAACAAGAGAAGCCACCGCAATGAGAAGCTCACGCACGGCAACAAAGAGTAGCCCCTGCTCGCCGCAACTGGAGAAAGCCCACGCACAGCAACGAAGACCCAACACAGCCAAAAATAAATAAAATAAATTAATTAAGAAAAAAAAAGCTTAAAAAAAATCCCGATTCCCACTGCAGTGGCCTACAGAGCCCACCAGTTGCCGAGAATTATTTTTTGTGCCACAGCTCTGTGCTTAGATTATGAGCCCTTGCCTTCCCCTTGACTTTTTTTACTCATCACAAGATACTACAGAGTGCAATAGGAACACAGTAAATACTTCCTGAACTGAAAAGAGACAGTGCAGAGTCACAAGGAACTCTCATACCCTGCTAGTGGAAGCATAAGTTGGTGCAAACATTCTGGAAGGCGATTTGACAAGATCTAGCAAAGCTGGAAAAGATCATACCCTACAACTCAGAATTTCGCTCCTCTGGGCACATGCCCTGGAGAGATGTTTCCCTGTATCCACAAGGCGGCTTGTACCAGAATGTTCATAACAGCACCGTTACCAAGACTGAAAAACAGAAATAACTGAATGTCCATCATATCAGGATCCTAGCAGGAAATAGCTGGCATACTCAAATCAGGGTAATTAAAGGAGCGTTCAGTAGTCCAACACAGAAAAGCAGAACTACATCTGAAAGGAGGGAGAAAGTGGTTACCCAAATCTGAAAAGAGAGTTCCAGCAGAAAGCCTACCTTGAAAGAAGCAGTGAATTTCAGGTAAGGAATACAGTCAGATTGAGGCAACCCCACAGGGACTAAACCAGGGGAATAAACACCCTGACAATTGTTTTCCCCACCCTCTAATCTCCAGTCAGGACGCCCCACCGGCTGAACCCAACAGCAGGCCAGAGGGCAAGGAGCCCCCGGATGAAGCCCAAAGATGTCAACCTCCTGGGGCGTGGCGGAGCAGGGAGAGAGTGGATATGGAGAGGCAAGAAGATCCTCAGCATATCCAGCAACAGAATGTATCAATATATGCTGATACAATGGCTACTGCCCAGCAGGAAAATGAGCAGACTAGAGCTACTTAGACCAATATGGATAAATCCCCAAAACCTCACATTGGTTTGAAACTGAGTGGGACCCTGTGGGGCCCGCCAGGGCACAAAAGCCCTTCCACGTCTCCCATTTCTTGTTTGCAGATAAAGGCTTTAGTATCCTAGACCTTCCCTGAGTTCCAAGGGCAGATTCAAGGAGTTACTAATTAGGGAAGTGAGGAAATGCAGAAACAAAGGAAAAGCAGTCAAGAAACAATAGTTCAGCGATAAAAGAGTCTCAGTTCCTAGCTGGACAGATACATGTAAAAGAATGAAGTTAGATCACTCCCTAACACCACACAAAATAAACTCAAAATGGATTAAAGACCTAAATGGAAGGCCAGACACTATCAAACTCTTAGAGGAAAACATAGGCAGAACACTTTATGACATAAATCACAGCAATATCCTTTTTGATCCACCTCCTAGAGAAATGGAAATTAAAACAAAAATAAACAAATGGGACCTAATGAAACTTAAAAGCTTTGCACAGCAAAGGAACCCATAAACAAGACAAAAATACAGCCCTCAGAATGGGAGAAAATATTTGCAAATGAAGCAACTGACAAAGGATTAATCTCCAAAATTTACAAGCGGCTCATGCAGCTCAATATCAAAAAAACAAACAACCCAATCCAAAAATGGGCAGAAGGCCTAAATAGACACTTCTCCAAAGAAGATATACAGATTGCCAACAAACACATGAAAGGATGCTTAACATCACTAATCGTTAGAGAAATGCAAATCAAAACTGCAGTGAGGTATCACCTCACACTGGTCAGAACGGCCATCGCCAAAAAATCTACAAATGATAAATGCTGGAGAGGGTGTGGAGAAAAGGGAACCCACATGCACTGTTGGTGGGAATGTAAATTGATACAGCCACTATGGAGAATACTATGGAGGTTCCTTAAAAAACTAAAAATAGAACTACCATACGACCCAGCAATCCCACTACTGGGCATATACCCTGAGAAAACCATAATTCAAAAAGAGTCATGTACCACAATGTTCATTGCAGCTCTATTTACAATGGCCAGGACATGGAAGCAACCTAAGTGTCCATCAACAGATGAATGGATAAAGAAGATGTGGCACATATATACAATGGAATATTACTCAGCCATAAAAAGAAACGAAACTGAGTTATTTGTAGTGAGGTTGATGGACCGAGAGATTGTCATACAGAGTGATGTAAGTCAGAAAGAGAAAAACAAATACCGTATGCTAACACATATATATATGGAATCTTAAAAAAAAAAAATTGGTTCTGAAGAACCTAGGGGCAGGACAGGAATAAAGATGCAGACGTAGAGAATGGATGTGAGGACGTGGGGAGGGGGAAGGGTAAGCTGGGACGAAGTGAGAGAGTGGCATGGACATACATACACTACCAAATGTAAAATAGATAGCTAGTGGGAAGCAGCCGCATAGCACAGGGAGATCAGCTCGGTGCTTTGTGACCACCTAGAGGGGTGGGATAGGGAGGGTGGGAGGGAGATGCAAGAGGGAGGAGATATGGGGATATATGTATATGTATAGCTGACTCACTTTGTTATAAAGCAGAAACTAACACACCACTGTAAAGCAATTATACTCCAATAAAGATGTTTTTTTAAAAAAAAGAGTCTTAATTCTTTAGTCTTATAGTTCCCTCAAGAGATGTGCCTAACAATCTGATACAGTCTTCAAGTTCTGCAGGCCCCCACCCAGGTGAGGGATGGTAAGTACCTGCTGAGACCCCAGACTGGTCAGAACCAGAAGGCTGATGCTTGAGATTCCTGGACCACCATCCTGTTACCTCACCAGCAACCAATCAGAAGAAAGTCATTCACCCTGCAGCTGTCACCCCAAATGTTGCCTTTTAAAACTCTTCCCTGCTTCTCCATTGGGGATTTCCCTGGCGGTCCAGTGGTTAGGACCCTGTGCTTTCACTGTCAGGGCCCGGGTTCAATCCCCGGTTTGGGAACTAAGATCCCACGGGCCACGTAGCGTGGCAAAAACAAAAACAAAAACAAACACAAACCTCTTCCCTGAAAACTACAGGGAGAGCTCGGGTCTTCTGAGTACGAGTTACCTGTTCTCCTAGCTTGGCCCCGCAATAAACCTTTCTCTGCTCCAAACTCTGATATTTTGTTTGTTTGGCCTCACTATGCATGGGGCGCACAAGCTTGGGTTTGAAAACAGCTTGAAAAAGGCATATTAAAATATTTAGAGAATGGTCACCACAACAGACTGTATTTTCTAAAATCCACCTCAGCTAGATTTCTGGCCTTACATGCTCTTCCAGAACCTTGCCACCCCCCACCAACAGCTGCAAAGAAAGAAAAGAATAAGGCTTTTGGACAGGAGTTACAGGAGAAACCCACTTTAGTAAGGGTAGCCAGGGAAAATCTGTCTGAGAAAGTGACTGAACTTTAAATAAAGTGTGAAGGTTGAGAAAGTGCTATTAGCTAGGCGAGCAAAGAGCAAGCACAAAAGCCCTACGGAAATAAAGGACTTGGACTTTTAAAATTGGAGTTAAGAAAACCAGTGAAGCAGGAGAACTGGGCAAGGGGAAGAATGGTGAGCATGAAGCAAGAAAGGTGAGTACAAGTCAGATCACGCAGCGTGTCTGGGGTGACTGCCCCTGGGTGACAAAAACTGGAATTTGACCACGCAGCAAAAGACGCAGGGAGGACCAATAAAACGGGCAGCAATGGTCCCTTTTATAGCTCTAGGGCTAACATTCACTTAGCACCTAGCCTATCAGGCACTTGGATACAGAAATCCTTTTAATCTGCTAACCCTCCCCTATGCGGTAAGTATTAACAAACCCATTTTCACAGCGAGGCAGATTATCTAAATCCAAAATCCAAGCACTTAAACCCACACAGCTCTTCTGCCTCCCCTCTCCAGTTCTGATGGGCACTGCTAACATTTTGGTGGATGACTCCTATTATAGAAGGTAACCATGATTATGGAGTATAAACTACATCGTGGTGAATGACCATAATAAAAATAACCGCATCTCACGTGCACCCAGCGCTTATCCTGTGCCACACACAACCTCGCTGCGATTACTCCCCTTTTACAGATGAGGAAACTGAGACCAATACTCGCTGAGCAACGTGTCCAAGGCAGGGCTTTGAAACCAAGTCCAACTGCAGAGCCCACGCTATTAACTATGCTTTGCTGCCTCACTCTATCTTCTCTCAGGGAACCTTGGTCAAGGCCAGCGAGGCTCCACGACCGTACCCCTTGCCCAGACACTCTTCTTTCAAAAGCGCCCCTGGAAGCCCCAAGTGCGGGCGGTGCGGCCTCTATTGCGGTCCCCAGCCCCCGGGTGCAGCCCCCGGGTGCAGCCCCCGCTGGGGTCCGGCTGGAGGCGCACATCCCGACCGAACGTTCCCGCCGAAGGTTCCGCAGCCCTGAAACCATCCCCTTCCCAGGCGAAGGGCAGGCAGTACCTGAGGAAAACGCGTCCAGGGTCCTGCCCCGAGCTCTGCGGAAAACACCTCCCGCCTCCGCAGCCGACATGGCAAGTTTTCCGCCTCGAAGGAGTCCACTGCGTAGGAGGGAGCGGCGCGACTCCTTACCGCCCAACTGCCGCTTGGTGCCTGCCCGGCTGGGGGCTGCGCCCTCTGCTCGGGGCCGGGCGGGGCCGGCGGGCGCGCGGGGCTCGGTCGCTCGGGGCGCCACTAGTGCTGCCTGAACGGGGCGGAAGTGTGAGGGGCCCCTCTGGGATCGACTGGGGCTCCTGGCGAGGGAGCCAACTTGCCTGGCGCCTGCGTGAGCAGAGTGAGTGCCTTTGGACTCAAGGTTTGGGGGGGCAGCCATTCCCTAAAAGTGGGGTCTTCAGGTTTAACAAATAAGAATACAGAACGCCTAGTTAAATTGGAATTTCAGATAAGCAATAAATGATAAGCATGTGCTATGCAATTTGGGAGATGCTTGTGCTAAATTTTTTGTGGTTTATCTGAAATAATTTAAGTGGGGACCTGTATTTTATCTGGGAATCGTACCTTACGATCCAAAGGACCCGGCCTTGTCCTTGGAGGACTCGACAGGACAGTCCTCCGAGCCACCAGGTGTGATCTCTGTCACAGTTCTGAGGCATATTCAGTTTCCTAGTCATCATCACCATCATTCCATTTCAAACCAAGTCCCCCTAAAACTGAGCTCCCTTACTGAATTATGATTAATCTCACTATGCCAAATTTTATTCTCTTTCTTGTCTGGCCCCTGTTCCCCTCAGGATTGAGGACTGTCAAAGAAAAGGGGAGATTGAAACCAAGCAAGACACGGTAGGGCCTTACCGGGTACAAAAGCCCCACTGTGTCCCCTGTTGCTTTTTTTTTTTTTTAACATTTTTTAAAATTTTATTATTTATTTATTTGGCTGCGTTGGGCTTCTCATTGCAGTGGCTTCTCTTGTTGCGGAGCACGGGCTCTAGGCGTGCGGGCTTCAGTAGTTGTGGCTCGCGAGCTCTAGAGCGCAGGCTTACTCAGTAGTTGTGGCACACGAGCTTAGTTGCTCCGCGGCACGTGAGGTCTTCCTGGACCAGGCCTTGAGCCCGTGTCCCCTGCATTGGCAGGCGGATTCTTAACCACTGTGCCACCAGGGAAACCCTCCCCTGTTTCTTGTTTGTAGAAAAAAAGGCTTTAGACTCCTATGCCTTTCCTGAGTTCCAAAGAGCAGGCTCAAGCAGTTGATGAGTAAGACAATAGAGTCACAGAACTCCTAGTTCCTTCTGAAAGGATATAGATAACAATCTGATGGATATCAAGACCCCCCACCCACCCCCCACCCAGGTGGAGGGTGGTAACTACAAGCTGACCACAAGCCTCGACTCCAAACTGGTTGGAACCAGAAGGTTGAAATTCCAGAAACATCACCCTGTTACCTCCCCACCAACCAATCAGAAGAAAGTCCAAGAGCTGATCACACTTCCTATGACCCTCTCCCCTAATACTGTCTTTAAAATCCCTTGCCTGAAAACCATTGGCTAGTTCAGGTCTTCTGGGTATGAGTTCCTTGGTTGGCGCCCTGCAAATAAACCCTGACTTTGCTGCAAACACCTGATGTCAGAGTGTGGCTTTCTGTGCCACGGGCACAGGAGCCCTTGCTTGGTGCCACGTTACTGTCATCATTGCTCCCTAAGCATCAGGCATTGCTCTGAGCACTTTGCACCAGCTCACTTAATCCACTTAACAGCCTTAGAAGACGGTACTATCATTAGCTTCATTTATCAGAAGGGGAAACTGATGCCCAGAGGGGTGAAGTTGTGTGCACAAGGTGACACACATCCAGGAAAGTAGTGAAGCAGCCACCCACCCAAACTGGAATCTGTCCAGCAAAAAGCCACTGAACTGAACTACTAAGCCAGCGTTTGTCAAACTTGCTAAAAATACAAAATCCAGGCTGGACCTACTGAGTCTAAATCTCCAGGAGAAGCTTCTGTTTCTAACTCCTCCAAGAGTTCTTATGACATGCCGAGTTTGGGAAATTCTCTTAACTAGCTGCCTGCATCTGAAGCATTGTTTGGGTGGCTAACATGACCAGGAGAACTGGCCTCTAATCTTAGATAAGAGGCAGTAAATCATGGCGGTTAAGAATATAAGTGCCTAGGAGTTCTGGAGTCAGACTGCTACCACTTGCTTGTTGTATGATCTTGAAAATTACTTAGTTTCTCCATGCCTCAATTTCCCTATCAGTCAAACAAAAACAATAGTAGTATCTTGGTCATAGAGTTGCTGGGAGGCTTAAATGAGTTGGTGCATCAAAGTGCTTAAAAATGGTACAGATGAACTTATTTGCATAGCAGAAATAGAGTCACAGATGTAGAACACCAACTTATGTTTTCCCCCAAAGGGGGGGGGGGCGGGGGAGATGAATTGGGAGATTGGGATTGACATATATACACTACTATATAGAAAATAGACAACTAATGAGAGCCTACTGTATAGCACAGGGAACTCTATTCAGTGCTCTGTGGTGACATAAATGGGAAGGAAATCTAAAAAAGAGTGGATATATGTATATGTATAACTGATTCACTTTGCTGTACAGCAGAAACTAACACAACATTGTAAAGCAACTCTACTCCAATAAATTAAAAAAAAATAAGTGTACTGGAATGAAAAAGTGCTTAAAACAATAGTTCTAATAGCAAATGGTAAGTACTCAATGAATATTGGCCATTATTATTATCATCATTATTAATCACTGTATCCCTACTCACTGCCCATGGCCTGGTCCAGCAGGAAATTCTCAGGAAATGTTCAAGGAAGGAATGAGTAAATGAGGATCAAAAGTCCTAATGTTGGCCTCTAGGCCCTGCGAGATCCAGCCTGCTTCTCACCCACTAACTTTGCAGTCACTGTCTTCCTTAAACATGTTCCTTAAACATGAAAATCCATTTCCCTCTTTGCCTTTTTGGTTCCTTCTATTGACAGTGTATCTGCTCATTTGAATATCAAGGCCTCTGCTTAACTCATACGTCCACGGAGAGACCTTACCCTACACACTTGCACACATTCTTCAGAGCTAAACTAGGTCTTCCTCATTCTTTTTGTAGCACTCGGCTCATGATCATCGTAGCCCTTTGCACAGTTGGTTATCATATGTTTACAGATGTAACGATTGGTTTCATGTTGTCTCTCCCAGTTCAAATGTAAGGTTTGTGAGGGCAGTTACTTTGACTGTCTTGCCCATCAAGCAGGGGGCTTAACGCATAGACACAAATGGCTGTTGCATGAGAAATAAATGGATGATGACTATCTTGGCAAGATAACCCTGTTTTGAACCTGGGCAGTGATGGTGAGTAACGTCAGAGCTGCATGGGTGCCACTTCCTGGTAGTTATGGCCGCCAAGTACACTTTGTCCGCCACTGGGACCAGCAAACTGTGAGCCTCATTGCCTGCCACATCCTCCCCTGATCACTGTGCCGCTCAGTGTTTCCACTCTCCCCCACCGTGCTCTTTCAGCCCATACACTCTTATTTTCAGCTGTCTGCCTGGAAGGTAAGAGGGGGCAGACAAGCACCATAAGAACAGCATATTCCTGAGCAGCAGGCTGACCTGTTCAGTCCACTTCTCAGCTGTGTGACCTTCGGCATGTCACTTAATCTTTCTGAGCTTCTGATTCTTCATCTAAAAGGAGTTTCCTGGCGGTCCAGTGGTTAGGACTCGGCAATTTCACCATGGATGTGGCCCGGGTTCAATCCCTGGTTGTGGAACTAAGATCCCGCAAGCCATTGCTGTGGCCAAATAAAATAAAATAAAATAATATAAATAAATACATAGAGATAATCACAGCACCAACCTCATATGGTTTTTTGGGGTTTTCTTTAACATCTTTATTGGGGTATAATTGCTTTACAGTGGTGTGTTAGTTTCTGCTTTATAACGAAGTGAGTCAGCTATACATATACATATATCCCCATATATCCTCCCTCTTGCGTCTCCCTCCGCCCTCCCTATCCCACCCCTCTAGGTGGTCACAAAGCACCGAGCTGATCTCCCTGTGCTATGCAGCGGCTTCCCACTAGCTAGCTATTTTACATTTGGTAGTATATATGTCTATGCCACTCTCTCACTTCGTCCCAGCTTACCTCATATGGGTTTTGTGAGGAGTAAATGATCCTCTAGGCAGTTTCTGGAGCATACTAAGTGCTTGATACATTTTTGCTGTCATTGATACTGTTAATATCGTTGTTGGAATACACTTCAACTCATTTTTTTCTAGTCAAAATTCTACTCTTTCAAGATTCTTTTAGGGAATTCCCTAGTGGTCCAGTGGTTAGGGCTCAGCACTCTCACTGCCAGGGCCCCGGGTTCGGTCCCTGGTCGGGGAACTAAGATCCTGCAAGCCGTAGAGCACAGCCAAAAAAAAAAAAAAAATTCTTTTAATCAACTATACTTCAATAAAAAACTTAGGGACTTCCCTTGTGGTGCAGTGGTTAATAATCCGTCTGGCAATGCAGGGGACACGGGTTCGAGCCCTGGTCCGGGAAGATCCCACATGCCACGGAGCAACCAAGCCTGTGCGCCACAACTACTGAAGCCCACGTGCCTAGAGCCTGTGCTCCGCAACAAGAGAAGCCACCGCAATGAGAAGCCTGCGCACCGCAATGAAGAGTAGCCCCCGCTCGCCGCAACTAGAGAAAGCCCGCGCACAGCAATGAAGACCCAACGCAGCCAAAGATAAATAAATAAAATAAATAAATTTTTTTTTAAAAAGATTCTATTCAGGTGTCACCTCTTACATCAGCCAGGTATCATTTCATTGCAAATAACAAAATCAGTTCAAATTGGTTTGATCAGAAAAAGGAATTCATTGGCATACATAAATGAAAACTCTGCTATGTGTGGCCAACACAGTGGAGTAGGAAGACCGAGCTCACCTCCTCCCACAGGTACACCAAAATTACAACTATTTACACAGCAACTACTGATGAGAATGACCGGAAGACTCAAAGAAAAAGATCCTCTACGACTAAAGATGTAAAGACGGAACCACAACGAGATGTGTAGGAGGGGTGGAGATGTGCTATAGTCCAGACCTTCCACCCTCGAGTAGGCAAACCACAAGTGGGAGGATAATCACAATTGCAGAGATTCTCCCCAAGGAGCGAGGAGTCTTAGCTCCACATCAGGTTCCT